CACAACAAGATAAAGGTAAATAATCCAATAGAAAAATGGGCACAGGATATGAACAGGCACTTCACCGAAGACGACATTCAGATGGCTAACAAACACTTGAGTGTTCCTTTTAATGTCATTATGCTGAAGGTCCCATTGCCATGTGCAACAGTGAGTTTCTGAGTATCCCTGTCGAGTTTTCCCACTGGCAGCAGGCCTGGGCAGGACTGTTCACTGGCAGTTCTGCACATTTGTCCTGAATCTTTGCTGGTGTCATTACCACTGTTAACAGCAAACAGGTCTGCCCTGGATGAAGTGTATCCAGGATGTTCCTTAGAGGCAAGGATGGTGAAACTTCATCTCACATACTTTGTGCTTGTTGTCAGTAGGTCCAGTTCTTGGGAGACATCGTGCTGGGAAGGGTGGAGTGTCAGAGAAAGAGAAGACTGTCAACAAGATGGATTGACATAGTCAGTGTAATAGTGGGCTGGAGTATATCAGAGGTGCTGAGGATGGCACAGCATAGGGAAAGGTTCAGATGTTTTTCCTAGGGTGGCTGCGAGTCACAGTCACATTGATGACACCTAACAACAGCATTAATCCTAAAGGCAAGTTTTAGTAAAAATTGTCCCTTCTCTTTGAAGATAGATTCAGTTTTAAAGAATTCTAAAAACTTCAGTGTTAGGGAGGTCTGTGAGTTTCACCCATGCGTGATTTTGCCTTCCAGGGGATATTTGGAAATGCCTGGAGATGTTCTTCGTTGTCAAGTCTGGTACACATGATCTATGTCTTCCTCCTTTTTTATTTCCTGTTGTTGTTGTTTATCACTGAGCCGGAACTGACCCATAGCTGACCTTCTCTGGTGGGTTTTCAGAGGCAGTTAATCACATGCGAAGAGATTGCCTATCTTCTCCCTTGGAGCAGCTGGGGGATTTGAATCACTTGCCTTCAGGATTGCAGCACAGCTTCTTGCCACTTGGCCACCAGATATTTATTTATAGGGAGGCTACTTCCGGGATCTAGTGAGTAAAAGCCAGGGATGCAGCTCAGCACAAGACAGACCCTACAACTCAGAATTTCCAGCCCCAAAGTGTTTATAGTAAGAAACTCTGGCATGGGTGAATGGGAAGCATTCTCATTTATACTCAAGAGTTAAGTAAGATTTTGAGATAATTTTTGATGCGTTCCCGCCTCACCACATGAGGAAGAGTTTGTCCTCAAGCTCTGCAAATGCTTCTTTGACCTCTTCTTTGTCAGATTGAGCGGCGTCTGGATACAGTGCGGTCAATGTGCCACCATTCCCACAAACGCCTGATGGGCTGCTTCCAGGGCCAGCATGGCACGGATGCTGAAAGGAGACATGTGAGTATTGGACCTGGTTCAGAGCCACAGCCCTGCATCTCTCTGGAAGCTATTTCATGCCTTTGATCATCTTGTTGATTCCCATTTGCCTGTAGATTTATGCCTCAGATTGCCATTGTGTTCCTGATAACCCGTCTGACTTTAGCATTATTTTTTTTTATGCTTAAAATATTGCTAGACTCAAAGCTCTCTGCTTCTCTTAAATTTTGTCCAGGTGTTTATAATGACTCCATAGTCCATTTGTCATTGATAAGACGATGGGCACATTGACTGGAATACTTTGATGGAGAAAGGCTGAAAAGTCAACCGACCATACACTTACTTAGAAAGTTGAAATAATTCAGTAGCTCAGTAATTGAAGAGTCTGGAGGCTGGGTAGACTTTGAAGGAAGACTCAGTCTAATATTTCAGTGATACAGGCAGAATCCTAGTTTCTACCCTTTTTGCTTCTCTTTTTTCAATGCTGCTCTGTCCTCACATGGATCTCCTTCATCCCTGTAAGTTGGCTACAGCAGCTTTGATGGGCTGCTGGCTCCTGCACTTGTGCACTTCTCCCAGGAGTTCCTTAATGGAATGAATGAGGCTCTGCCACGTCCCTAGCAGATAGAGATCTCTGACCTGAATTAAGTCACATTCCTCATTTTGAACATTTTCACTCTAGTTACCGTGGGTTGGAAGTCAGGTTGGGTGAGAAGACTGGTTTGTGCTGATCAGCCTAGACTAATCCGACCCACCACTAAAGCGTGAGATGCGGTCTCACCTTCAGCTCCCAGTCTTCACCAGTTTAGAGGATATCTCTGGGAAAGATCAGGATATAGTGACAGAGAGAAGATGGACTGCAGACGGTTAGACCACTGAATGTCTCCTTCAGGGTACATTCAGAATATTCAGATTTATGTAGGCTTAGTAAATTAGATAGTTCTGTGCTAGGTTTTACAAGTTCCTTGATCATGAGTATACACTGAGCCTTAAAAACCCATATAGCATTATTAAGATGATAGTTTCAGTGGTACACAGAGAAGCTATATAATTTTATAACCAAATATAGCAAAAGAAAGAACTGTTATGCATATAATCCACGTCTTTCTTCCATGAACAGGCATATTCCTCTCTTGCACAACTTAGAGTTCTGCAGTTGTCTATATCAGAAGAGTGAAGATTTACATACACTTATGGTGAAGAGATTGAGATTGCTAATAGTTTCAGTTTCCTTGGCTCCACAAAACAACAGTCTTGGTACCAATAGCCAGGAAATTAAAGATGAATTGCATTGGGAAAGTCTGCTGTCAGAGACCTCTCCAAAGTACTGAAGAGCAACAGTGTCAGTCTAGAGACTAACGTGCACCTGATCCAGGCCATGGTCTTTGCAATTACTTGTGTTAGGAAGCTGGACAATGACTAGGGATGATAGGAGAATTGATGCCTTTGAGCTGTGGTGCTGGAGAACAGTATTGAATATACCATGGACTGATAGGAGAACAAACAGATTCATCCTAGAGAGAGAGAGGGAAACCAGGCTGCGCCTTGGAAGCAAGGATCCTGAAGCTCTGTCTGACATACTTTGGACATGTTGCAAGGTGGGACCAGACCTTGGAAAAGGATGTCATGCTGGCAAGGGACAGTGCAAGAGAGGAAAGCCCTCAGATGAGATGGATTGATTCAGTGACTGAGGTAATGAGGGACAACAGGCTGGCACAGGAGTGAGCAGAGTTCAGGAATATTGTACATAGGGTCTCTATGATCACAAGCTACTCGACAGCACATAACAACAACATGCTACAGGTATGGGCCATTTCGAATTGGACAATCATATGAGCTACTATGCCAGGAGTGACAAAATGAAGAGAACTAGTGTCACATTCAGCAGCAAAAATAACATTTCAGGATCTATCATGATAAAAGAATAATATAAAAAAGTATATGAGGAAGATCAGTTATACAACTATTACTTAAATATGTTCATTAACCATTAAAACTAATGATGAAGAAATTGATAATTTCTGCCATTTTCTGAAAAGACGTTTCTCTTATAAAAGAGAAGAAGACCCTCAGTGAAATGGATTTACATAGTGACTACCACAGTGGGGCTTGAACAGATAATGTGAGAATGGCACAAGATAAGACACAGTTCAGATCTGTTGTTCAGTGAATTGCTGTGAGTCATAGTCAGCTCAACGGTGCCCAACAGAACCAACTTCTGCATCTGAAGTTGATCAACCACGCAATCAAGATCCATTAAAAACTGGTGATTGGAATGCAAAAGTTGAAAACAAAGAAGGGTTGATTGTGGGGGGAAATAAAGGGCTTGGTAACAGAAAGGAGACGAGAGATCAGATGATAGAATTTTGTACAATCAGTGATATATTCTTTGCAGGTGTCTTTTTATATTTTTTCCCCATGATATAAAGCCATATTTATTATTTTCTGGATTTGTTGGGTTTTGTTTTGATTTAAATAAAATGTTTCTTTTATACTGGTTTACTAACAAGTTTGTAGACATTATTTTACACACCGGATCTCTCTCCCATTTCCTTTACCCACCCCTTCCTCCAACCCTCAAATTGTGTGACCCTATGCTTAACCCTCCCCCCACCCATCCTCACTCCTCTGCTCTTCCCCCTACCCTTGGATTCTCATAAATGTTCTACAGTAATTGTCTTATATAGTATTTGTCCTTATGGGACTGAGTTAGTTCATGCAAGTGTCTTTAAAAAAACATAAATAGCAACTATACGTGTGACCCTCACCTGGTAGAATACACAGGAATCAGATTTTATACATCAGTAGAAAGAGATGTTGACAAGTTCGGTATCAGTAGTTAAAAAAAGGCCTGAGTCCAAATGTAGAAGAGATAGTCAATTCCTCCTTAATTCAAATCAACTAATTACAGTTGAATCAGAACCAACTCCTAGCTGATCCTGTGTGGAGTTTTTGGTGCTGTAAATACACAAAAGGAGATTGCCCACTGGAGAGGTCTGGCACTTGACTGGGTTATTAGCACTTCAGCTCCCAGCAAAACTACACCACTGTTTTTAGATGTTGTTTATTCAAATAAGACTCATAGCGACCCATGACCAGTAGATCTGAATCCTGCCGGATCCTGTGCCATCCTCACCAGCTCTGATACACCTGAGCCCATTGCTGCTGTCACCATGTCAGTCCATCTTGATGGAGATCTTCCTCTTTTGCCAACCCTTCACCCTCCCAAGCATGATATTCTTTTCCAAGGAATAGCCTCTCCTCGCATCATGTCTAAAATGTGAGAGACAAAGTGTTACCATCCTTGCCTCCAAGCAGCACTGTGGCTGCACCTTTTCCAAGACACCTAATCATTCTTTTGACAGGCCATGGGACATTCATTGCTCTTCTCCAACACCACAACTCAAAGGCCTCAATTATTCTGTCATCCTTATTCATTGTCCAGCTCTCAGATGCATAGTGAGTGATTGAAAAAGACTATGGTGAAGAGAAAATGTTATTGGACAATTGGGATCCAAGATGGCGGCGGAGGCAGAGACAGCATGGTGAGCTGCGGGAGCAGTGAACCACTTAAAGCAGGGCCATTATGGCCTTCCACAGACTTCGGCTTATTGATAATTGAACACTTAAACAGTTGATGACTGGCCCTCACTGAAGATCGAGGCACAACAACAGGAATTCAAGGATTCCCAAGGAGAAATGGGTGAGTCTCGTGGCTCCCAACCCCCTCCTGCAGAGCCCACGCGGCACTGCAGAGCTGCTGCAGCTCCATGAGGCTTCCACAGCTGGAATGAATGGATTCCCTCACCCAGGATGGATGCTGGGCACCCGTCCTCCTCAAGACTGGTACAGTGAAGCCACCACACTGCCGCAAGGTAGACTTCTTCTGGAGAGAATTCCTGGAGTCAGGATGGCGGCTGTGGGGGAAGCAGGCGCCTGCCGGCCGCCCGCACAAGAGGGGCCACGCACACACCGAGCGCCTGTGAGGCGGGGTGGGGGGGTGCACCCCCAAGGGCTGCCTGCACTGGGGGGTCCACGTGCCTTGCTGCCTGCCTGCGTAGGAGGTGGGGGATGGGATGCATTCCCGCCATCTGCAGGTTTGGGTTTCCTTGGACAGGCCAAAGAAGACGATTACCTATACAATGGATTGCTGAAAGTCACTGTGAGTCTGATGACCTTAA